GGCGCCGAACCCCACTTCTTCGACCGCAGCTACGACAAGGGCCTCGCCTGGTACCGGTGAGCTGGCGCGGGGCACTGGCGGGGCGGCAGAGCGCTGGTGTGTTTGGGGAGGCAGTGGAGGGAGGGCTCTAAAGAGCCCATGTTGAACCCCAATTCAGCTCCCTCCCCATTTCAGGAAGAAGGCAACAGGTCCTCAGTAATTGTCCTTAACTCGCGGGGTGCCTTCCTTTTACCAGGAGAGTGGGTGATATCCACTTTGCAGGTGGGTGGGTGGGAAATTTGGGCCTTCAGGGTTTTTTCCTTAGTCCTCAGGATTCCCTTTCCCCCAAATAGCCAATCTCATCTTTTCCTCCTGCTCTGTGAGAGGATGTTTGTTAGCTAAAGAAGAAAGAAATCTCACACAAGCTAGATCCTGTTTATCAATTATTGGGTAGACACCCCTCTCCGGAGGAAGCCTGTTTCTACTTCTCCGTTCCCTCCTGGGCAATTCCCTGTGATGAATGCAGTCTTGGCCGCCATGTATTTATTCACCTTGACCCCCAGATACTTGTTCTAGGTGGTAATATAGAAACTTCATAAAAGTGTCAAAATCAGAGTCCAGGAAGTTGGGAAAAATATGTTGGAGCAAGTGCCAGCAACGGGTCACTGTGCTTCAAAGAAGGCGTCCTTGGTAATAACTTTTGTTTGGGGTGAGGAATGAGTTTTGCCCGGTGCTATCTATATTTATAAAGGAGAGTAAGTACCCTTTGTCTCTGGCTTGTCAGAAACTTTTCCAGAAACTTTTCCAGAGTGCTTCAGACAATTCTTTTTAGAAATTAGGTAGTCAATTAAAAAACAAAAAAAAAAAGGAAGAAAAGGACAAAATATAAGGACTCTGGTTACATGGTGAAAAACCCTCCTAATACAGTTTAGGAAACAAGTCTGATTTAGATCTTAATCTTAAATGTAGCAGTCCTCTCAGATTCTGCCCACTCTTAATAATAGAATCAGCCAAACTCTAATAAATCCTAGTGTCACCTGGACTTTGTTTGCCATAAAATACTGGCCTTTTTCTTTACTCTGAGAACAAGGAGAAATCATGTGGCCCGGACTTTCCATTTCACAGTTTTAGCTTGTTCATTAAATGTGCAGTCTCCTTGTCATTTTAACAGAAACAGTATTACAAAGGTTACAACACAATTTAAATATATATCAAAAGCCCACTAAATCAACCATGCATCCCCCGAACAGAAATGGACATGATTTGACAAGTTTATTTACATGAGGGGTCAGACACACTCTCAGATAGCTTTCAGGAGCTGAATTTACAGTAACCCAACTCATGAGAAAACATTTGGTCCTAAAAGTCAAATTCAAACATTAAATACTTTAAAACAGTAACTTTTCATTGGTTGGAAAGAAAAACAAACAACCTTTCCTTAATGTGGGATATATATCATTTAAAATCATCAGTCTCTTAAAAAATCCCCTTGTGTTTCTGTCATTTATGTTGTATCCTCTGGGAAGTTCTTATAAAAATGACCTGTTGAATCTGAAAACAACAGGTCCTTCTTTTTAGCACAAAGGCAGCTCTGTTTTTTCCATCAAGGACACAAGAAAGAAGTGATTAAAGACCCCTAAAACTCTTATCTGTAGCAGTTCCCAATGAATTCGGCCTCGTACAGTGTATAAGTGAACGCATTGCAAGCTGACTGCCCCGAATATCTAAGACAGTGTTTGGCTCTGGGGTGCTATTCTATATGGTGAAATGTGTAGTAATAAAACCCTTTATTTAAATTTTACCTTTTAGACTTTATTTCCACGAAGTAGTACTGTTTCTTCTTATTCCAGAAATGAGTGTTTGAGGGCCCAGTATACGGTATGTAGAGACCTGGAGACCTGGATCTTATTTTCTGTGGGACTTTCTGAGCTTGTGAGAGAGAAGGAAGGCTTCAAGGTAACTAGAAACACAAGTATTGGGAGAAAGAGTGAGAGAGAGAGAGAGAGAGAGCGAGAGAAAAGGGGAAAAGTCATAAACATTTAGAGCACTCTCTATTTGGAAACGGGATGCACGTTGTAAAGTAAATCTTTCTTTGGATTGTTTACTCCAGCAGAGGAGTTCTATAAAGCAATTTATGGTGGTTACAAAAATAACTGCACAGTAGACTTCATGGTTTGGTGAATTTAATTTTCCAAGTGTTGGAGCAATGTCTTTGTTTTGCCATTTGCAATGGGTTTTTATTGGATGCATAAATTTAAGTTTAACTCAATTACATAGGAAACTCATTACAAAAAAAAAAAAATCCAAGCTGTGGAGCCTGGATTATGTGATTATTTAATGAAATTTTGCCACAGTTCCCTTTCATTTGGCCCTGAAGTTAGAGTTTGATGTTTGTGAGAAAGACTGAAGACTTCACCTTGAAAAATAAATCTCCCACACAGAATGCCACTTAACTATTAAGCACGTTTTAATTTTTTTGTTTATTGATTTTTAGAGAGAGGGGGGTGGAGAGAGAGAGAAACATAAACTTATTGTTCCACTAATATCGATGTATTCATTGGTTGCTTCTTGTATGTGCCCTGACCAGTCATGGAACCTGCAACCCTGGCGTATCCGGTGGACACTCTAACCAACTACCCTGCCAGGGGTTAACTGTTAAGTGCATTTCAGCTGCTTGTATTTAGCCAGTATTTTAGAATAAGGGGTTCGGTTAGACTTTCTTTAGTTAGACCAAAATTTGTAAAATAGCACTTCTAATCCATACTGATGACCACTTGTGTGTGCACACACACAAACAGGAAGTCCTAGTATTTGCACCCTGATGTGAATTGTGGAAGAGAAAAATCTGTATAATAGCTTTTAGATGCTCAATGAATGATATGGGAGAATCATACATACATGTCTAGCCCTGTTTTTCTGCCCCTAATAGTTTGTTGTGGCAGTGCCCCCTACTGTCCAGACAAAGGGAGCAATCTGTTGCTGTTAGGAAGTTGGAGAGAATCCCTTGGGGAATGAGTTTGAGGGTTAGAAATGCCTTGCTGGGACGTTTCAATATATTTATCATGCTGGGGGAAGATAAGGTGCTTTATAAACTGCATCCCAAGAAGAGTGTAACCAACTGTTTCTTTGAACAAATTGGTAATGAAGGCAAAGAAAACTTATTTAAAAATATTTAAAAAGGATTTCTTCTAATTAATTTAAAATGTCCTAACATTATTCTAAAATAAATGAAACAAAAGCAAATTTTCATGTTCTAGGAGATTTGTCAATGATAACTCAGGCTGCTTCAGTGTAGTTTTCTGGATATGAAACTCCACACTGATGAGTTTAAAATAGCAGACATGATATCAGTACAACAAATGTCTGTGGCTTGCACGTCCCGGGAAAGCAATCCTTTGCCATGAATAGTCTCCATTTCCGTTGTCCGTGTGGTGGGTTCATAAAGCAGAGCAGGGAGTTGCTTCATTGACTTCTAGGCATTCAGATCTTTTCTGGAAGTCACGACCACATGCCTCTATGGGATTCGAGAGCAGGTGAGCTTAGGATTGCATAGGAGGGCCTCCCTCTCCCCTGCACCAGCCAGAAGGTGTGCTTTTTTCTCTGAAGACAAGACATACCTACTCATGAAGGATTTAAAGATGCGTGTATTTATGTATATGGGTGTGTCTCTCTCTATGAATATATATACACACACGTTTATATGTGTGTGCGCACGTAAATGTTTGGTTTCTCTAGCACTTTAGTTTCATATTTTAGGACAGGATAGTATTTATTATCCCGTCGTCTGTGCTGGCACATCTATTTCCTACGTTTTGATTTGCTTTCCTTGGTGAGACTGGACAGTTTCAGCGGAGATCGGTATCACCTAAATTGTTTCACTCCGCAGCGTTCGGGAAGATCAAAGATTGCTTCCTTGGTATTTGGGAGTCGGTTCTCCCCCGACCGAAGTTTTGTGGCCTTCCCCGATTACCGTGTTTTTTTTCAAGTCCAGGGAGGGACAGGCTGAGTGGAGGAGCTTCGGTTCCTCTCGGGCAGTCGGCGTTTGGCAGCAGCTGGGAGCAGCTGCAGAGGACCTCCGTGTGCAGTTCCCACCCTCCTGAGCCGCAGGCCCTTCTGCCCGGAGGCTTGGAAACGAAATGTGAGCCAAGGGAGCTGCAGGGCTGGCCACCCGGGCTCGGTCACATGGCTGAAGTCCGAAGCGGTCTCTCTGTCCCTAGGGCCGAGTTAAGAACATGGGGAGGGGGCTAGGGTAGGAGGAAGCAGGACAAAGTTGCTCTGGACCCTGAGTCTAGGGCACATGTCTACAGGGCGGGGAGGGTACAGTTTCTCTCCTACATACAGTCCCTGGAGCTCGCGGTGGTAGCCACCTCCGTCCCTGAGAGGTGGCACACTGGCCTGTGGAGAAGCCACAGTGCTGCCACTTGTTTTGTGAGCGTCGGCCCTGGGCCCCTCCTCCCAGCAGACTGCCCAGCAAACAAGTCAGATAGCCTCGTTCTGTGTGTCTGTGGGTTGCATCCCCACACGCACTTGGGGCAAGACCAGACACCTCCAGGAGGGGGAAGGGATGGGACTGGTCACAGGAAAGTTATGAAGTGGTTAGGAAACATCTGAATAATATCAGTTACCCCGCTATGGGACAGGCTTTGGGGATACCGAGTCCAGGCCCTAAAAGCAGTAACAGCAATGAAGCCACATTCAGCTTGGTCCTGGAATACCTCGTGTGAGCAAATATTTCTGCATAACCACGCGATTTATAATGTGCTGTTATGTTTCATGTCAAATGCATAGCCACGTATGAGTGAAAATCCTCCACAATATTAAAATCTGCCTTCCCCTTAAAAGGAAAACACTCTAGCAAAATAGTTGTCTCATATATATGTGTTGGTTGGTCAGGAAATATGTGTCAAATAGGTATTTTTGGAGGGGTCATGGGAACACCCTGAGCCGGTGCAGTTAGTGACAGCGGGGTAACCTCCCACAGACCGATGCTCCATCCTGCGGAGGGAGTCAGACAAGCAGGCCGCCAGGTGTAAACCACAGCGCGCCTCGCATCTCCAAGGGACGGATTTGAACAATC